CAAATCAAAATATAAAGAAATTTCGCTTACTTGTCAGACGCAGCAAGGATTCTCGCCTTTTGTCATTTTCTCTAAATTTTATTGATGACACAATAAATACATTTACAATAAAGGGAAGCACATATAAACTTTAGTTAGTGTTTCGCATTCATGTTACATCTCTCTCAGTCATCAACGTTCTTTGTGCACTAGTCCAAGGAATTCAAGCGCACACAGCACCATCTGGTGCAATACAGTTTCTACACTTGATAATGTTTTCAAATTGTCCTATTATGTGGTGATGTAACAAGGAAAAGTGTATTGCACTTTTAACAACAGAAGCTGAAATAATTGCTTTATGCAAATGTATTCAAGATATTTTATGGATAAAAAATGTAGTAAATGAAATTTCCAATGTTAAAAATGTTTATATTTTTGAAGATAACCAGTCATGTATTAAAAATATTGTTAATGAGAACTTTTTAGGTAGGCTGAAACATATAGATATAAAATTAAAGTTTACTCGTAAGACTGTTAAAGAAAATAATATTAAAATTGAATATGCACAATCAAGTTTACAAATTGCAGATATGTTAACTAACACTCTGTCCACAACAAAATTCTATGAAGTGTTATCATTGGGCTGTTTAAAATTGTGTAATTCTTCTATGTTTTCTATAATGTGCGATTAAGGGGGACTGTTAAGATATTTATCGCATTCTTACTGGTTAAAAGAAGTATAGCTTTCTGTCACGTCCAATGCATTAGCTTTCAGTCAGGTCTGAATTATTCTAAAACTTAATCCCATTCTTTATGTTACTTTTGATTGGTTGTTTTATGTGTTTTGTTTATGATTTGTTAAACCATGATCTGTTGTAAAGTAGTTGTAAAGTTGTTGTTGTAAGTAATATATGACCTCTGTAAATATTTTCATTGTCTGCTTATCTCTGCATGTAGTATGTAACTTTGGTTTTACTTTTCTGCATGTATCTCTGTGTATTGCTTTGTAATAAATATTTTCTATGTTATACAGTATTTATAGATGTAGTTATGTTTATACGGTAAATTACCTTTGTCTTTTTAAGTACATTTTCACTATTCAAGGAGAAAGTGTCAAATTCCTTTGGGAGTGCAAATTATTTTGCATTTCAAAATTCCACTAAGATGTCAAAGGCTTGACAACTACTACAGTGGGATAGGTGTCTGTTTCCAGCCTATAAGAAAGAAGTGCACTACAATTTGCTTATAACATATCCTGATTTAACAAAAAAAATATCAGATCTTGTTTAATTTCACCTTATTTATTTCAAAGCATCAGATACTATCAATCTTATTTAATTTTACTTTATTTTTATGCAAAATTAAGTTCATTAATTTTGTGCTTAGAGTTTTTACCGTTTTACCAAAGTAAAGATGTTTGTAAAAGAATTACGCATGAAAAAAATACATGAAATGCAATAAAAATTGCTTAATGAGATATGTTAAATCCCATTTGAAGAAAACTGTGACTTTCATAATCTCATCACTATACAACGTATCACATTTAATAATTGATACAAACGCCATAGGTTTCAAAGTAAAACAGATCGTCCCTACTCTTTCTTGCGGACATGTCGGTGACGTGCGCCCCACCCACTGGGTTAGTCTATCTCTTATAAGGTCCATGGGAGAAACAAAGAATACAGACTCTCAGTTGTCCTAGATTATCGCCGTTTGATTTTAGGCAAGATTTCAAGGTAAAAATTTAAAACTAATATAGAATAAGGAGGTTAGCATGCAGCCAAAAAAATAACATAGAAATTTCTTTTTCAAGCAATTCCTTTTTACCCTAAAAAAGAATCTTGAAGATTTCTTTGAAAAATGAGGGTCTTAAAATACTAAACATGGCTAAAATATATGGACTGGTTTGTGTTGAGCTGCCATCTACTATAAATAAAGAAGGTTCAGAGTAACCTATAAATTCTTTTTCATTCAATTTTTCTGTGCGTACAGAAGGAAATTTTTAGGTGTTTCCAGACCGGACACACTGTGCCACAAATTGTTAACAAGCACACCTTGATTACAGAGAGCAGTATTTTTCTGATTCATAAAATTTCTATTTATTTCCACCTCTCTAACTCAGTTAATCCTTTCTTGGAAAAATTCCTTTAACATTCTGAAGTCAACCAAAAGTTAGCGAAGAGTCATAAATTCTATGAACTATTCTATGGTTGATTCTATGGTTGTCTTTTTCATCATGTGGAGTGTACAACAACATTGAGGAGACAACAGAGGTTGCTGATTGGATGGAAGTTTATTTTACATGGGAGTGACAAGGTAGGGAACTTGTGTGAATTCTTTGATCTGTATTCATAGAATATTCTCATAAAATTTTATCTTGTGAGTCCAAATATAAAATTTTATCAGTTGATGAAATAGTAAGGATTTTACAGGAGCTAGATGGCATAAAAAATTCCAAAATCTACAGAAAGTGTGTTTTATCTTCTTGTACTGTTTTAACATTGTTAAAGAAGAAGGGAAATTAATGGCTGTGTTTGATCAAAATAAGAATGACTGTAACGTTTGAAGAAATGTGCTAAAGAGAATCGAAGCTTTTAAATTGGTTGAGGGTGCAACATGCAGATTTTCCTGTAAATAGTCCTTTTCAAGTTCAAGCAGAAAAATTTGCTGAAAAATTCGGATATTCTGGATTTATATGTGTGAATGGATGGCTTTTTCAATTGCAGAACATCCATGGGAAACTTAATGGTGAAGCAAAGACTGCCAACATGGCGGATATCGTGACATGGATGAGTGAAAAATGGCAAATCATCAGAGAAAAATACACATAAGATGACATTTATACTGCCAGTGAAACGGTCATTTTCTGCTATGTAACTTTTAAGTTCATTGTAGGAACAACAGACATTCACAACAGACTTTTAAGTTTATGGATGAAAAGTGTGTTGGAAGCCAGCTGTCCAAAAATTGATTGACAATTTAAGTTTGTTCTAATATGTCTGACACTGACAAGAAGAAACTGTTGGTTATTAGCAAGTCCAAAAACCCTAGATGTTTTAAACATGTAAAAAGGCATCCTGTTGATTATGACCACAATAAGAAAGCCTGGATGACTTCAGATATTTTCATAGAATTCATTTCAAATGGGAGAAGCAACTGAGGAAAGAAAAGTGTAAAATTCTCCATTTAATTAATAATGTAAAGTGCATCTCTAAACCACTGGACTTATAAACATCAGGATTGAATTTTTATCACCAAATTCTTACAAGTGTTATCCATCCTATGACTAAGGAGTCATCAGAAGCTTTAAATCCAAACTTCTGTAAGCGCTTGATTTTGATGCTTCTCGATAGAAGAAAAAAAAATAGGAACAACCTCATATGCTAATATAGTGGTACATTTAATGAACAATGCATATGAAAATGTTACATCAACATGAATTACTAGTTGCTTCCATAACGCTAGATTGGACATCTTTCAAGAAGGGTAAATCACTGCGGAAAAAGAAGTAGACAGCTTGGAAAGTTTGAGAATGAGTAGACAAGAATTTGAAAATTATGAATCTTTAGACCCAATGTTATGACTTCCAAGATACCTACTCCTAAGGATATTGTAGCTGAAATTCAAGCTAAAGCAGATGATAATATAATGAAAGTGACAATGATCACGGCGAATATGAATAATTTTAAGCTGAACTGCCCTCAACATATTTGATAGCCTTTGAGTGCATACAAAAATTTCAAACTGTTTTCAAAGCCAGGGGTGCAAATGATGATGTTTTTGAGTCTTCTCTGAAGAACGATAACACAAGGGACAATAAGACAATTAAAAGCGAATAAACCAAATTCTTTTGTACTGTACAGAAATTAAAAAAAAGTAATTATATCTAATATAGTAAGCATTTATGTATTTTTGTGATTTTTTTCACGAAACCTTTTTTTACGAGAAGCAAATATCATGGTCCCGTCATGCTCTAGAAGCGATTTTGACTGTATAAAAAAAAATTCGAAGGGTTTCAAGAAAAGATCTGTTATCAAATTTTTTTAGTTGCAGAAATTTTAATTTTCAGAAAGCAGGAAAAACTCATTTATACTTATAAAAAAACGTTTTTATAAAAGCTTAAATAATTGATGTTCAGTTACATGAAAATTGTATTTCAAAATTTTGGTACTTTGGTGTTACCCATTATAGAAAACTTTAAACTTTATTATTTAACTGACAGATTAAACATCTCAGAGAAAATATTAGTTCTGTATTTCTTTGATGCCTCCTGTCCTAATCCTTCAAAAAGCATTGGATGACTAGTTGAAGTGACAACACTTCACACTTTAAATATCCTTTGCCAGTCACTGAATTTGAAAGTGACAAGAGCCCCTAGAATTTGGTCTTTTCTCATGGAAATAAAAACTGTTGAATGTGAACAGATGTAATGTTACATTATCCATGAAAGGCCTGCCAATAACTTAGAATTTCAATATAGCATTATCAAATGAAATAAATATATGAGAGAAGAAAGGAAAATCTCTCTTTAAAATAATATTTTTTAGAAATGTCTGTGATTTCTTGCATAAGTTTTTCAAAAAAGCATTTAATTTGATTTAAAAGATTTAAACTAAAGTAAATTACTTATCATTAAAGAGCAATAAATAGGTAAAGAAAATGGAGATATAGCAATAAATACGTACTATATATAGGGAGATAAAAAGATTCAAGCTGTTCAGATAAAAAGCTGTTCAGGAATCTGGCTTATATAGTCTCTTGCTAGCTTATAAATATGGAAGAGAATCTGATAAGTGTGGTTTTAAGACACTTTGAGGTGATGTCATGCTAAGACTTCCTAAATTCTGCTAATAAGTCTGGTTATAGTTGCAGCTGATCATGCCTTAACGAGGTATGAAATATAGTGGTTGCTTTTAGCAATCTGAATTCAACTTATTAGCACCTTTTTTCACCTTTTTTTCACTGCTGGTAAATTTTAATACTCGTAACAATAATTTAAAGTTTTATTTTATACTTTATAGCGAAATAATGAGCTATCCAGTTGTTTGTTTCAAGAGTATTGAAAATGTTGGATATATTGAAGATATACTGAAAACAGAATCACATAATGGTTTCCCAGTTGTTGATGTAACTCAGGTGAGTTTTGAAAAATTATCATAGTTAAATTTACCTATGTTCTAATTTTTATTTAAATTTTGTTGTTAAATTAACTTTATACTTATAATAGCAGTATTTTAAATCACATTTTCAAAATTTTTAAAATCTTTTTTTTTTTTTTTTTCCTGAAAGTTTCTATTTTGCAGTTTAAAATGACTAATGTCTTGTTTATGTGCTAATTTTGAAATTTTGCTTCCATATGAGGTTTCAAAAACTGTTAAGGATCTAGTTGTATTTATGATTTAACACTGGGAAGGGTGAAGCAATTTATAAATTTTCAATATTTACACAGAAGAAAAATGTGTTTTATGATTAAAGAAAGATAGTACTTCTCTTTTGAAATAGAGTTTTATTATTATAATTATGTATTTAAAAAAGATGGCCATTAATGTTGATTTTATATGTTATGGGTTACGGCAATTTTTGTTAGATAAAAGTAAATTAAATATATTTTCTGCTTGCAGGGCTTCTGTGATCGTGTACATACATTTGGAAAATTTCAAGGAATGATTTTAAGGTGGCAATTAATAGTTCTACTTCAGCATAAGGTAGGTAAAATTTAATCTATATTAAATAATAAAGTTAGATATATTTCAGTAAATTATTATTAAACATCAAGCTTATCTGACTGAGTTAGTATGTGAAATTTAACGGGGTTTTTTTTTTTTTTTTTTTTTTTTTCTTCTCTTCTTCTCTTATGAGGGATTCAGCATTTATTATTTAACTTTATTAGTACTGTTATTACTAAAACATAGTCTTATCATTAAATATCATTAAAATAAAAATACTTCCTTCACTCATCCCAGATACCGAGCAATCCAGAAAAACTAAAGACAAAACTTGCTTACTTACCTGGGTAGTGTGATGTTGAATCGGAATAAAAACTCTAAGAAGTTGATTTATCTAATTATATTCTATCTACACTACAAAATATATACATTATTTAACAATTTTCAGGAAATTTTTCTGGCCCCTAAAGTTATTACACATCTTAATCGGTTCACGTCACGAGGTCGAAAGGGGAAAACCCGTTTTCTCTTCCTACTTCAATGACGGCCAACGCCATCTGTGTCTCATACATCAAATGTAGAGATTTGTTTTTAATGTTTGTACGATACAACTAATCAGTTTCACAACACTCCCACCTTTTTCATTTTCAGAAGCAAAATCAAAAATCAAATAATGGTATCCTTAGTACAGGAACACACTTCTAGAGGGTACAGTTTACGTACAGGACGAATCAGTATGTCATTTCTAGTTTTCACTTTTACAAGTCTTACACATCCATCTCTGCTTGTACAAAGTTCTTGGACATGAGCGATTGGCCAGTTCACTCTTTTAAGGTTCTCACAACCTATTAGCATGATGTCTCCAACTTTTAATTCACAGTCATTTTGTCCATGCTTTTGTACTATTTGTCCAAGGTATTCCTTGCGGAAACAGCTACGAAATAGTTCTTGAAGTTCCTGGCAAAAACGCTGACGAGCCTAGGGTTTATTTTGATCTAAAGTATCCAAATCTTCTGTACCCCTGTAAGAACATGGAAGGCGTTAATGGTAGAAGATCCTCAGAGTCATTTGACACATAAGTAAGTGGTCAACAGTTCATTACGGCACATTACAGATGATGGTGAGTAACTCTTCGTAATTGACTGCAGCTTTTCCTAAGACTCTCGCAATCAAATTCTTGGTTGTGCAGATTAGACACTCCCACCATCTGCCGCGCCAAACAGCAGTGGGCAGAATGAACTTCCAAGTGATGGGATGCAAAGGTGAGCAATTACCTTTACCCAGTCGACCTTTTTCAGCAATGCAGATGTACCGACGAAATTTGTGCCGTTGTCTGAGTAAACTATAGATGGCCGACCTCTTCTGGCTATGAACCTACGAAACGCTTGAATGAAGCATTCGGTACTTATGGATGTTACTAGCTCCAAATGTACACATCGATATACAGCACATGTAATCAGTACTAACCAGGCTTTGTTTTTATTTTTGAGAATCAGAGGGCCACATAAATCTATGCCGGTAACTTCAAATATGAAAGCATCTCAAACTCTGTCTAATGGTAATTGAATGGGTGCAGTAGTTGGAGGTTTAGCTGAAAATCGTGTACAACGGACGCTCTGTTTCACCACCGATCTAATTCGGCATCTTGCACCAATGATCCAGAATTCTTCTCTAATTATAACAGTTAATGCTTGTACCTCAGTTAATGAGTAACAGCCTGCCTAATGATAATGCTTTAAATGGTAATCTTCAATTAAACAGTCAACAATATAATGCTTAGAAGGTAATAAAATTGGGTCTGGAATGCATAAGAATCATCTCTTTCGGTGATTTTCGTTTTACTCTTCTTAAGCCACTCTGATCTCGTACTGTCAAAAGACCATTGATGGAGTCTCCAGTCTCTGGAAAACTCTCCCCTGAACAAGTGAAAGAATTATAATTTTAGATTCCTGTATCTTGGAAGCAGACAGATAAGGCTCTTTATTTACAACTTTGATAAATCTCTTTATCCAACCTTAAACTCTCAACATTTTTGAAAATTTAGAGAACTTTTCACACCACTTAACTTTAACCGCTTTTGTAGTTATACTAAGATTTACATTTGAATTTATGCTTTTCCTGCACTCTGAAAAAACTAAAGTTTCATTTGGCTTAACCTCTAATTTCCTATTGCTAGCTATCTCTAGGGCCTTTGAGCCAAACAGGCCCTCTCCACCAATTTAATTCGGAAAACTGAAGAGGGGAACAACCACGAGAAGGTAAATCAGCTGGGTTAGAATGACCCGGTACATATGACCACTGTTTTGCTTTAATGAAAGCTCAAATTTCCTTGACACGATTGCCCACAAAAGTCCCCCACGCATCATTTCTTTGAATCCAAGATATGGCCATGGTGGAATTGGTCCAAAAATATTTCGTGATGTCATCTAATGTAAGAGCTTCTGTCATATATTTGGAAAGACGCACGCCCAAAAAACATGCCATAAGTTCTAGACGGGAATAGTAAGTTCTTTTAAGGGTGCGACTCTTGACATAGCCACTACAAAACTGACTAATGTTTCTTCTTTAGTTTCGCATCTCAAAAATATTACTGTGGCATAAGCATGCTGACTAGCATCACAAAATACATGAAGTGTCCAGGAACTTGTATCTCCAAAACCTATACGTCGCGGTATTCTCAACTTATTCAAAATTTGTAATTTATTATTTTATATTTGTAAAATCAAAATTTGTAATTAGCACCTTGAAAATTTACTTTTGATACTATCTGGTAATGGAGTATCCCAGTCTGTTTTATCGCCCAAATTTCCTGTAGCAGTAACTTTGCAGGCAATAAAACAGGTGTCAAGAAACCCAAAGGATCAAACATTCTCTGCATTAATGACAGAACCTCTCTTTTAGACAAATTGTCCGAAACCAATACAGTCTTAATTTCAGTATAAAGGTTATCTTCTTTTCTGTCCCACATAATCCCAAAAACTGGTACAGAATTCTCCATTGTGGACTCAGTGCACAAGGCACTTTGGGTTAGTTCCACATCTTTTTCTACTGGGCCATAGGTCTACATATGTAAGTCCATTTTTGTTTCAGCTAATATTTCAGTAGAGTATTTCACAAAATTCACAAGCTCCTTCTCATTATCAACAGAAGTCACATAATTATCAATATGAAAAGATTTATTTAATTTCTGAGCAATAGAACTTTGTTCCTTTGGTGCTTGTGCCAATTGAACGGAAATAACCGCCCCTATATTTAATTTCTGAGCAATAGAACTTTGTTCCTTTGGTGCTTATGCCAAATGAACGGAAATAACCGCCCCTAATAGAAAAGGGCTAGACTTTACTCCAAAAACTACCCTTGTATGGTGGAAAACCTTCAGCACATTACCTTTCTCCCACCATAAACATCTTAAAAAGTCCCTATCTTCTTTCTGTAATTCAATCTGTAAAAATGCACACCGGATATCAGAGGTTACGCCAATGCATTTTTCTCTAAACCTTAACAAAATTGAAGGGATTTCTTTTATTAAATTTGGTCCTTTTACTAAGTAATCATTAAGGGATGGCAATCTATTAACTTTACATGATGCGTCAAAAACAGGTCTTATCTTAGTTGAGACACTGTCTGGTTTAAATACTGCGTGATGCAGTAAGTAGTGCCCTTTAGAATTCAGTTCATCGTCTGGTACTATTTCAGTTACACCCTCCTCCATCCATTCATTAAAAATCCTTTCATATTTATTATATTCTTGAGTTTATCAAGAGTTTTTATTCATTCTTGAGTTTTACTTCATATTCATATTATCATATTCTTGAGTTTTCAGGTGGCACTAAACAATCTTTTTTCTTCTACATGACGATTTGATTGCAATTCTGTGTTATATACTGACCAAGGTAATCCGACACAATAACGACCATCTTCGTTTCTGGAAAGAGAGTTTAAAAATTGTTCATGGGCAATTTCTTCCTCAGCAGCGTTATTGAATTCTGATGAGCATCTATTATTCCAATCGTTTCTAAGTTCCAAAGATTGGAGATTTTAAAGTCGTGGCCTACTAAACTTGCACACAAAATGGAAGCATCTTTATCTTTGTGATTAACAAATTCCTCCGATACATCGCAAACTGTCCAACCAAGTTTCGTACAGACTACTGTTAGTCCTCCTTTGAATTGTTTTACTGATCCCGTGAGAATTTTTCCATAAATATCACTACCGATGATCATTTCTATTTTTGTACAATCTGCTCCCAAATCCGACAACCAAATGTTGTTTCGTTTTAATTCTTTTAATATCGGACCCTTGGGTACCCGAGGTATATCCCCACATATTATGTCTTGATCTAAAAATTCAAATTCTAGATCTGAATTCTTACACGGACTGGCGGAACATAATTTTACCCGATATTTGTTATGCAACTTTGCTTCTGTTCTGGCACCTCCAAATAAAGTAAGAGCAACATTTTCTTTGGAAATAATTGGTAACCCCAATTCAGTGGCTAATGATTTCAAAATATACAATTTCTGGGAACCACAATCTAAGAGTACTCTAACATCTTTATACTTTTTGACACCAGCTACTCTTACGCATAAAGTCATTAAAGCTACGTCAGCAGTACAAGTTTGCCTGGCTGTAGCCGTGTGTATGTTGTCTATTTCTGATTTTTCTGTAGGAGGTTCAGTTTCATTATTAATGTCTGGACACAAAATAACTGAGTGTGATTTACCAAAAGCAAAACACCTAACAAACTGTTTACAGAACTTTGCCATATTATTTGGTTACAAGCATTGTAAACAACATTTTTCTCTTTAACTTTAGAAATCCTTTCATTAAGAGATAATGAACATGCATCGTAACAATTTTTACTATCATGCATTTTACCACAAAACATACAAGCATGTTCCTTAGTTGTAAGAAAACCTGTGGCAGTGGGAACATTTGCCTGTTTCTTGAATTTAAATTTACCTTTTGTTTCCCTCTTTGCTTTATCATGATATCCTTCTTTACGACTAACACAATCGAGTCCATTACGTGCCAATTTG